AAAGATGTGCCTACAACTCAGCGAGGGGATTAGTGACTATACAAAAAAAAAAGTTTATTTGTTTAGAATATGATTCAATCATTGTTAAATTCCAAAAGACTCACAAGTGATAGTAAGTAAACATTAAATTAAACATGTGACAAAGGACACAAACGAAGTGAATACCATGCCGACTAGAATTTTCCAGAAAAAATTAAGTAGGGAGAACCGACCATTGATTGTAGTCCACAACAGCTCCAATTCTATAGTCCATAATTCCTGCCCCTCACCGCCTGTCGTTCGACAAATGGCAACTTCATAACCATGTATTCTACGCACGGGAAAAAAAAAAAAAAATTGGGGTGTCGACTAAACAACATTATTATCAACGGAAAACTTGTTCCATTAATGAACAGAAATTCCAAGGAAAAAATATTGTCAGAGACTTGTCATGTAATGAAAATCATCATTATATTGTCCTATTCTCCCTCTGTGTTTATATATCCATTGTGATCCCTACCTTTCTCTAATTTACAATATCATATCTGCTATTATTACTTTTTGATAATATATATATCTATATTATTCCATCTATAAGATTTGAATATAATTGAACTTTAAATTTATTTAGTGCATTAAACCAAGACTTCATCAATATTTTAGTTGGATGAGATTATATAATAAGTATGATTAAGGGCAAATGATTGAAGGATGGCGGCTGAGATGAGGTGGCAAGAGGGGAGTGGTTGGGAGGGTGGGGGCCGGGCTGAGTTGGAGTGTGGACAAATGGGCGGTGTGGCCTGTGGGGAAGATAATACTATATTACTACTATACTAATAATAGTAGTACGTAGCGCTAGCTGTAGCTGCGGTAGAGCTAATCAAATTGATGATATATATGTATCTATATATAATGTGTGTATTTGTGGTTGATGAATGATGATGGTCGGTTCTGGTGATGTGTCACTCACGGTGACCGTCAGATTAGACGTGTCGTCGTCTTCCGCCGTCTGCGCTGTGGTTCAGAGTGGCGGGCCCCATTTCCGCCCATATTTTCTGTAATATGTCGTCTTCACCCCCGACTCCCTTGCCTACCCTTCATACTCTTTCTCCCCAATTTTCTCGGCTTATCTATCCTAGTTTGAATATACACAAATAATGCAACTTCACTTCCGTGAAAGGAGTGAATTCTAGTTTTAATTCTTCCATTATTATAAAAGGTAAACCGCACGAGCTTGACGAAATTATATGGACAAAAATGAGACACCCGTGAGATTCAGTAAATTTTTTTGAAATAAAGTTTAAATTGGACGCTGAACGTAATCTGAAAATGTAATTAAATCACTGAACGAAAAAAATATAATTAGGTCACTGAACACTCAAAAAATGTGCAATTAGGTCATTAAACACTCCAAATGTATGCAATTTCACCGAATAGTAGGTTACCATCAATTTTAACAGGTTACCTGTTTACGTGGCAGCTGAGTTGACATTTTAAATAAATTTTAAAAAATTGAAAAAAAATTAAATAAAAAAATAAAACGACGGGGTGACCGGTGTTTTTTTTTTAAAAAAAAAATAAAAATTATTTAAAATGTCAACTCAACTGCTACGTAAGTAGGTAACATGCTAAATTTGATGGTAACCTGCTATAAGATGAAATTGCATACATTTGGAGTGTTCAGTGGCCTAATTGCATTTTCAGGTTACGTTCAGGAACCAATTTGAACATTTACCAATTTTTTTTATGAGTATTACATTTTTCTCTGTATAGTATTACATTGTATAATTTTTCAACACCTAATATTATATTTCAATTTAAAAATATTATATTGTTCATCAATATTACATTTTTCTTCATAAGTATTACACTTTCCAACATGAGTAACAATCAATCGATTAGTATTATTATTATTATATATTTTTTTTTCTCATAAGTAACAATTTGACTCCTAAATATCACATTTTGATTTTAAAATATCTTTAAACGTATTATATTTTCCCCTAAGTAACAAATAATTTATTTATAACTAGTATTATATTTTTCAATATAAGTAGTACATTTTCATTTTCACCAGAATAGTCTCATGAATAAAGATATGTGGTTATTACTGAACACTCACTCAATGATCAAAAGTAAACTCATCTTGTGTGGATATGATGAAATTAGATGGTGTTTGTTTCTTTTTTCTTAATAAGAGATTTGATGTGACATGCTTGGAAGGTTTCATTTTTTGTGTCAAATTTAGAGAATAATAATGTTTATATAATTACAAGTATTAATGTTTAGTGCATGAATATTTCCTAAATAATTCAAGAACTCAAAATCATTACTACCTAATTAAGTGATTAAAATGAACAATTAGGGGAATATAGTGAGGGTGGCCTGGGAGCCACTGAATGGTGAAGGCGACAGATAGGAAAACAGAGAAATGGGGCGGCAAAGGAGAAAACGAAAACTGAGTTTAATTAATGCCATTAATACTCCCCACCAAACCCAGGGCTTCTCCATAAATACCCTCCTTCACCTCTCTGCAACTCCACCATAGCCAACAACTCCACAATTCTCTCCATCTTCTCAGACCACTCCTGTTCTCCAATCACATTCTTTCTTGCTAAGAGTTAAAAATGGCTAAGGACGTTGAGGGTGCCACTGAGTATGCTGCTCCAAAAGACTACCAGGACCCTCCTCCAGCTCCACTCATCGACCCAGAAGAGCTGGGGAAGTGGTCATTTTACAGGGCGATCATAGCCGAGTTCATCGCCACTCTCCTGTTTCTCTACGTCACTGTCCTCACTGTGATTGGGTACAAGAGCCAGACCGACCCAAATGTGAAGGGCACTGATGAATGTGGCGGCGTGGGCATTCTTGGAATCGCATGGGCCTTTGGTGGCATGATCTTCATTCTTGTTTACTGCACTGCCGGTATTTCTGGTGGTCACATTAATCCGGCGGTGACATTCGGGCTGTTCTTAGCCAGGAAGGTGTCCCTGGTCCGAGCCGTGATGTACATGGTGGCGCAGTGCCTGGGAGCCATCTGCGGATGTGGGCTGGTGAAGGCCTTCCAGAAAGCTTACTATGTGAGATATGGCGGCGGGGCAAATGGATTGCAAGATGGGTATAGCAAAGGCACTGGGTTGGGCGCTGAGATAATTGGGACTTTTGTTCTTGTTTACACTGTCTTCGCCGCCACTGACCCCAAGAGAAATGCCAGAGACTCCCATGTTCCTGTAAGTCTTTATATTTACACTCATTTCTCTACTGTCATCACTTTATTTTCAGAATACTAATTTGTGGTTTGATGTGTTGTGAAGGTGTTGGCTCCACTCCCAATTGGATTTGCTGTGTTTATGGTTCACTTGGCCACAATTCCGATCACCGGCACCGGGATTAACCCGGCTAGGAGCTTTGGAGCTGCTGTCATCTATGGCAAAGACAAGGCCTGGGATGACCAAGTAAGTAAATACAGAATGACGAGAAAAACCCGTAACCATGACTGATTCAGTAGTTAATAAGTCAACTGTCTTATTAACTTAATTGGTTGGGATTATATTAGTTATATGGATAGTGACATGGTTGAATTGTTATGACAGTGGATATTCTGGGTTGGACCATTTGTTGGAGCTGCCATTGCTGCAGTGTACCACCAGTATGTGCTGAGAGCAGGAGCAGCCAAAGCTCTGGGATCATACAGGAGCAATGCCTAATTGTGGAGGTCTGCAATAATTGTGAGCCAAATCCATGGAGGAATTGTAAATACCAACCAAGATTTGGTGAATTGATCTGAGGGTCTCTATCTCTATCTCCATCTACAGTGGTGCATGTTTTGGCACTTCTGTTTTAAGTGTGTGCCAATGCAAATCAAGATTGTGATTTCCACTTTCTCCTTTTTGCTTTTCATTTTCACCTTTTTTCTTGGGTCTTTTCTTCTTGTTTGGTATGTAGTCTTTTGATTCTGGTTGTAATGCACAATGAATAATAAAGCTATGGAACGACGAATCTTTCTTTTGGGCCATTTCTTTGTTATACTCGATTGATTATTTCGCATGATAAAACTCAACTTGATTGTCTTTATATGGGATGGAATTTGGCATCTGAGTGCACTATAAGTTTAGTTAATTATTTTTTTGACAAAAAAAAAAAAAAATTATTGCGGAGTGTGCATTAGGTAAATCTCATTAAAAAATTGTAAGAGAAATCATATTGTACGACAAACTTGTCTGAGAAGGTGTTGGTAAGAATCAAATTTATGAGTTTTTAAGTACAGTGTGGAACCATAACAAAAAAATACATTTTTTAATATACTAAATATTGAAAACATTATACAAAATAATGTACATTCAATACTTAAATAATGTACTTTTCTTGAATACAATGCACATTTTTAATATATTAAAAGTACATTATTTATGTACTAAAATACAATGCATATTTTTAATATACTCAAAGTACATTATTTATGTACTTAATGTACATTATTTAATAGTATCGTACATATAACTGTATGGACTAATAATGATTGGATACCCAAACACTGGGCAAATTATGCTGTGCATCCATATGCACCATGAATGCAAAAACGACGTCGTTTTATTAAAAACGCACGTCTCACTTTAAAAAAATTAGTTTCGATTCCCAGCAACAACATTATATTGTGCATAATTTGAACAATATATCCAAAATTAATGAAATAAAATTCCAGAATGAATGAACTAAAAAATCATAATGAATGAACTAAATATCCAGCATGAATGAAATAAAAATCAGTTTCGATTCACGTCTAAATATCAATAATCAATGAACTAAAATTTCAGAATCTATGAACTAAAATTTCAGAATCTATGAACTAAAATTCTAGAATCTATGAACAACATAATGTTGTTGAGGAGAATCGAAACTGATTTTTTTTTTTAAAGTGGGATGCGCATTTTTAATAAAACGACGTCGTTTTTGCATCCGTATGCACCATGCCCAGCATTACGATCCCAAACACTGAGCCTATTGGACCGAAATATAATTGACTTGGTCAGTTGGGCCCTTAATATGCGGAAGCCCAAATCCATTAGTACCTCTACCGCCAATTGTAACTGTCCTAGCTTAACGTTTTCCCTCCCTCACCGTCGTAACAATCTGGTAGAATCCGGCATTGCTTAACCGGTTTCCGTTCCTCCTATCTATCTTCTCCGGCGATTCACCGTGAGGTATCATAATCTCCGTTGATTTTCAAATTGCATGTTAAGCGAAGCTTCGTTTTTTTTTTTTTTTGCTAAACTAAATGCTTTGGTTTTAATGCATGAACTTAACAAAGTAGTTCACATGGAAGCCCGTAAGCGTGGAGATTTTCTGATTCAAACGCTGTTAGCCGCCGAGAAAGAAGCTCGCCAAATTATAAATGCGGCCAAGGCTGGTAAAAGCCTTATCATTGTCTCTATTTCATCATTTCTGTTGGATTATTAATTACTGTATTTTTAACGGAGCTAAGAGATTCCGAGCTTATACACAAGCTGAAAGACCTTGGAGTGTTAAAAAATTGGCATGCTCTTTGTAAGAAGTAGGGATATGATTGCAGATTTCTCACATAATGTTTTGGACATCTTATTTGGTATATGTTACAAGAGGAGGGTTATTGATGATATTCAGTCTCTGGTGGATGGTGGTGTTCGAGATGTGTTTGGCATATTATGAACTTTTGTTTGATTATGTACCCTGCAACCTCTGAATCTCTGATTATGATTTATGACTTGCACATGTTTATGCCTCACTTTGTCTGTTGCTGTGTACAGAGCAGCAGTTCTATAGATTTGTCAATTTTGTTTGGATCTGTCCTTGCAGTAACTCTGCCTTAGCTAATATGATTTGTCAATATGATAACTCGACAGAGTTTGATTTTATAGCTATTTCTTGTGTGTGATTTGATATTCACTCTATGTTGCTCACATTTTGAGACCAGTAGACCACTACTGGTCTACCATTGCCCAATGATAGACATAACCTTGTATATATATTTTTATACTCTCTTTACTTTAGTAGGTGTGCCAATAGAAAATAGTAACATTATTATATGTTTGGGATATCCATTGTAATTGGGCATTTTGAATGATATTAAAATATGATCTGCCGACCTTGATGTTTCTGGGATTTATGTTTTTAACTTGTGAAATGTGGTCAATTCTTAGTTTGATTCTCATATATCTTTCTTAAATTAATTCAGTCCCAAAGTATAGAGTTTGTGTGCATTTTTTTTAAATTCATATACTTCTTATGCTCCCAACTTTATTTCACAATTAACTGGGTTTCTCTTTTAAGGGAAAATGGATAAACTCAAACAAGCCAGAAATGAGGCTGAAAAGGAGATGGTTGAGTATCAAGCCAAAGTGGATCTTGACTTTCAGAGGAAAGTGGCAAAGGTACATCCACATGAAAAATAATTATTCATTATAGTTCAAGACATCAAGAGGCACTGCTTAAGGCCTGTCTCTTCTCTAGCATCTTTATAGTGAATGTATGGCCCAGCTCTTTTGGGGGCTTATCTACACCAAAAATCCAAAAGCTGGGCCAAACATTAATTGTATAGAAATGCTTTTTGGTGAAAAACCTCTTGTAAGACAAATAAACTGTTTTCTAATGAACTTGTTGTCCTTTCACATTTAATGACACATTAATAACACCTCTGAAATTCTGAACGTCTCCCTTGATTTAATAACTTTTAACTTCTAACTTAATAAATGCATATATTTTATCATGATTTTGTAACTTTGATGATCATTAATACAAAAAAGAGTTTTAACAGTTTTTTTTTTTGGAAAAGAGTTTTAACAGTTAAATATCCAATCAATTTTTCTACTCCCCAAAAAAAAGATACTTTCAGTATTTATTAAACCAAAAAAAAAAAACTGAAAAAGCTTTCAAATTTTCTTTTTTAAGCACTCTCATCAGAATAAATGTTTTTGGAACATATTTATTTGGGCCAAGCATGCTCATGGGTCTTTTCTAGAGCTAAAAACCAGATTTGAAACTTGAAAGTCGTGTATGTGAACCGACTAGTCAATTTCAACCTTTAATTTTGTGGGTCTCTTGAATGTTTTTGGTTACCTAGTTCTTTTCTTAGGATTAAGATGTTTATCCAACTAAAATTTGTTTATCTTTTCTTTTCAGTTTTACTTACTGTGTATACTCTCTACAGAATTTATGCGCATCTTGTTATTATTAATATTATTATTCTATTCAGTACTATTTTTCTTAGGAATTAATATCTTTACCCAACTGAAATTTGTTATCTTGTCTTTTCAGTTATGCATAGCTTCTATAATCTATACTATGTACACAATTTTTGTGCATCTCCTTGTGATTTTTTATTTATTACTGTTTATCTTATCATGGTAAAACTTATTATATCTCTATTGATGGATGTTTGAAAAATACAGTGCAGTGGAGATTTTGATGCCAATATGAGGCTCCTTGAGCAGAAGACACAAGCAAAAATATCTGCTTTGACAGCTGAAGCGGATTTAAAATCCCATGTTCTTGCTAACACGCTGGTCAAGGGTGTTATATATGTGAGAGTTTAAACTCTTGCATATCCAAGAGAGGCAGCTTGACTTTATTAATCAATAGTTTTACAATAATATAAAGCTGGAGGCTTATCCGTTTTGACTGAAAGTGGTAAATCTTAATTTTACCACGTAGTATCATTGAATTGAATTACTCCTTAATAGCATAGTTTTGCTGAAGACTAAATCTGTATCTAGTGTGAGCTTTTAAATTCTTCATCCTCTCTGCTAATAACCTCCTTATTTACATTAAGTGGCATGTAGGAAAGTATTTTATGCTTCTCCCAAAAGGTTGAATCCCCAACCCCATGGCTCAACAGAGCATTTGGGAGGATGTAATTTAACAGACAGGGCCAAATGCCGGTGGGAATATGGGATCTGCCCAATTTGGGCATAATCCCCACACTGCCGCCACCGAGGTTCAAACCTTGGTCTCTTCTCCCAAATACTGCCTACTGAACCATTGAGCTAAGGCCGTGCGGGGGTGGGGGTGGATTATAAATTTAGTTGAAGAACTTGGACTGTTGCATTGGTACACAAAAGTCACATGTACATGCATGAATAAGAGATGAGAGATGGACAAAAATTGTTTCTATTCTGGCTTTGTACTCACATTGGCAATCAATCTCATGATATTATTATATGTATGTACAACTTGATAATTGCATAAACTTGATGTTTTGTTTTCAGATTTACTAATTGTGTGTTAAGACTTGCATTTTGCGACAAGCAGAAAAATTATTTGATCTCATGCTCATGTTTGTCAAGTCCTGGTCTCTATTGGCTAGTGCTATTCAGCATAGATCAGGGTTGATGCTGTTACTATGTTGTTCAATGAGAATTTTAATATTAGGCCGTGGGTGGCTGTCTCCCTGTCAATATAATATTCAATAATTAAACAACAGGCTGAGATTTAAGAAGAAGACAATGTCTTTGATCTTTGCCATACCCTACAAGATTTGCTGCTGGATTGTCTTGTAAGTCATACATGAAGCTGCCATTATGTTTAAGTTCACTTATTTAGCTCAATAATTCTGCTTTATACTGTCTTTTAACATCTCACATTTCAATACTTTTATTTAATTTCTACTACATATTTTCATCAAGATTTGAGACCTTGTGGGATTTACAGGGGATTCTGGGAACACTGCCTTGCCTTGTCAGGTACATAACAATTGGGTGTTGACTCATGGATTTACATAATTGTTTTATTAACCTTAGTTCAGGTTTAACTTTTTCTTTTTTTCATGCATCTGATGAGTTGAGATACAGATAGTGATTGGAAAATTCGAATGGTAATTTATTACGAAATTACGTTTTGAAACTCATTGAAGGGTATTGGCACATCTTTAAAAAAGTTTAACTTATTACTAAATTATAATTTGAGTATTATTTTATTAAGCTTGTCCCAAAAGGTTGAATCCCCAACCCTAAGGATCCGACTGAGTATTTGGAAGGATGTATATCACTGTGGTTCAATGGCTCAACAAATAGGACGACAAGAGATCTGCCCACTTTAGGCATAATCCCCACACTGTGGTCGTCAAGGTTCGAATCTTGGTCTCTTCTTCTAAATATTGTCTACTGAACCATTGAGCTAAGCCCTTGCCAGCTTCATTTTATTAAGATATTAGCACTAGATACTGGTGATCTTAAAGTCATATGCACATAGTAATGTAATATTTTTGTGGAATATCAATAGAGACAGAAATGCATGAACTACTATTAGAAGATTCCAGAGTAGGTGTTTTTGCAAATTTTCTTCCAGACAGATCACATGCAGCTGGTTTAATTAAGGGCAGAACAAGTTGGACATTAAGTGATTTTTCTATGATTTTCCTTAATCTCCATATCCAATCCCCAAAAACCAATCTACATGAGATATTCAGACCCCAGCATCCACTCCATGATGATTAAATTCCCACTTGTTTTGAGTGGTTACAATAAGAGATGGCCATTGAGCTTGGGCGGCTATGACCACTATCTGCTCAGGTTAATCATACATTAAAATAAAGACAACCTAACCGATTTTAATTTCCTCTCGTGTATTAAAATAGTATCATTGATTATAAGTTTGGCCATGAATGAAAACAAAATTGGTGGGGTTTATAGGTTAGTATTTTTTGTAAAGGTTGTTGGTCATTCTAGGTGCTGTAGTTAGTTGTTATAATGAGTCATATTCATTGATTGTTAGTCGTGTCGTTATTAAAACTTTTGTTTTAAAAAATTCTGAATTCAGAAAGTTTACCACTATTTACGTTTCAAATGGATTCTAGAGGAAATCTTACCTCAAGAACTTGCCAAGGAGGGTCGTTCTCGCTTGGTGGGTGCAGGTGCTAAGTGGGGTAGGATGGAGCAAAATGCGTAGGATTAGGAGAAAACTCATTAACGGATGTTAAGGCGGGATGGGAGCAAAATGTGCAGGATCAAGAAAAAATTTATTATCACACAGTAGTCCACACAAAAAGGTCATTTGTAATTGTCTGGAGAAGGAAATGCTATAAAAAGTGCAAAAGTATTAGGGATTTGCCCTTTCTTTTCCAACTGTGGATGAAAAGTTGATTTGAAATTGATACTCTAGCCATAAAACATGATTTCTGAAATTGGGACCATCTGATGTTTGTGGGCAAACATGTAATGGGTGGCATTAAACACTTTGATTGATATAGACATTCAATTTTGCAATCATATAATTTGATCCTATCACGTTAAGGCGGGTTGCAAATATTATTATTAGATCTTAAACTGATGTTACAGGGAGCGTTTAATTGGGCAGGGAGTATTAAGAGTCCCCACAAATATCAAAAGGGGGCAATACATATCGTCAAAAAAGAGTTGGACTGAGGACTGACCCTTAATTAATGTTTGACCGAGGTAGACATACACAGTTGTTTGGATGTAAATTAAGGGAGAGGGGGGGTGGTGTGGGGGGTGGGGGGATGACCGGGTGAGGGTTGACCATACCCAGAATTGCAAAAATGTGAATGTGTAGCCAAACATGCTGACGGGGCATCCACGTGATTACAAGTCGCGAATTTCTAGGACTCTCCCTTTCTGTTAAAATATGCCCATATGCCATATCCTGTTGACCTGTACTTTTCACCCATGTAATCCAAGGCATTCTACTACTCTCAATTTTTACTTCCTTAATTTTATTCAATAATATAGTAAATATTAATAAGTTATTTTCTTATAAACCTCAGTAAAAGTATTTACATCAATATTTTAAATATGGACTAAAATTGGATATAAAGAATAAGAGTTCACATAATATTTTCATTTCGTTGATTTTTTTTAATGATTCTAGTTTTCGACTTTGCTCTGAACTTTATGAGCACACTCAAAATTCATGAAGAGGTAAATTCAACCGATCTAACTTCAAGACTCAATACCAAAATGCATATTTATGTGCATAAGGAGCTCAAGTTATATCCAAACCTCTCATGTTTGTCGCAAGAAAGTAAATCTTAAGTGAGACTTTTCATCTATTAAATCAATACTCTCTGCTCCCTAACAAACCTTTCATTGTTTTTCTTTCTCCCATCACAACTCGCTTGAATTAAACTTTAGAGATGTCAATTATTATAAATTATGATTAGAAATTAATTTTAAAGTGTTTATTTTTATTTATTTATTTTGTTAAAATGTTTTGATAAATATAATAGTGATAATTGATAAATGGGTTTGTGATGAGTTTGGTATTATGCTCAAATACTTAATTTTGATTTACGTTTCATTTTTATATTAGGTCATAGATGATATATAACTATAACATTCAATGCATAGGTTATAATGTTCTCTTAATTAATTAATGATTATTCCGCAGTTAGTCAACATTTAGTAGTCCCATGCAAAGTAATAATAATAATAATAATAATAATAATAATAATAATAATAATAATAAAACATGAAACATAGCACAATCATGGAGTAATAAGAGTAATATTACATATATTTTTACTTTTTACCCTATAATATCATTAGTAACGTGATATATCTAGATTGGTCTAAAAAATATTTTTTAAAAAAATAAATTGATCACAAACTTTTCTCTTTGTTTTCAATAGAAAAATGTTACATCTACTCCCAAAGTCCATTCTCAACTTTTACTCTACACTCTACTTTTGATGTAAACACTTTTAGTATGACCATATGATGACCTGACATGTAATAGAGTAAAATCTAGAAGTATGTATAGTAAAATTGTTTTCAATAACACTAAAATATGTTATAAACATTTTACATAATTAAAGTACAATTATCATTTTTCAATGCAATAATAATTACCCTTTTAAATGGTATAAAAAGCTTCCTTCTTCTCTCAAAAGGTTGAATCCTCAACTCCCCACATTCCGGCCCGACAAATCATAATTCTTACACTGTGACATCTAAGGTTTGAACATTGGTTTCTTCCTCTAAATATTGTCTATTAAATCATTAAGTTAAATTCGTGCGGACGATATAGAAAGCTAATCAAAGGAGAAGACAAGATGTGATTGGGAGACACAAAAATGGGTGCAATTATGATGCTAATTTGGTAAAAAGATGGAAACAAGTACAAAATAGTATTAGGAGGGGGTACTTGATCAAACTCCTGCAACTGCCATCAATTCTATTACGTTCTTTCTCCAGATTTGATATAAACATGCACCTGTCAACCCAAGCATACTGCCATCAATTTTTACATAAATGCCAAATTATTATTTCATTTCCTTGCGAGTTGGTGCCTATGCCAACTGGACCACCCTCCCTCCCTACCTATCTAACCCCCATTATTGAAATTTTATTATATATAATTATATATGCTATGCTCACCATTATTATTGAGTTCCGGCCTATCTTTAATCTTTTCTAGTGTATTTTACTTATCTGGTATATTTTTCAGGCTATTATGTAAAAAATGTGATTTATCAAGCACACATATTTAAATAATAGTTGTATTAGTTGTGGATTTCTTGTCACTCAAAAAAAAAAAAAAAAAAAAAAAACTTTTACAATTTGTCACACAAAAAATGGCAAGTGTATTCTTAAAAAATAAAACTCCCATCACATATTCTGATCAATTTTGTGTCAAAAAATGAATAAAAATTATGACTTTTTTTTTTTTAATAAATCAAAATATGTCAAGATAGTAAAGAGAAAATAAAAGAAGTGTAACTCAGAAGTTTTGACTAATTAATAAGTCGCCTTCTATTAAAATTATAAGGTTGATTGATTGACTTTTGTATGTATGTGTTATATTAAAGTGTTCTA